GCCCCACTCTGTCACCACCCCTGGGGTCTCCACAGAGACCAGCCAATACCCAGCCAGGTCAGCGAAGGGCTTGGCCCCACCACCGCAGGAGGGCACAGGGGGATCTCGGCACCAGGGACCATAGCGAGTCCGTGGCCCAACACCCAGGGGGGTTGTCTCACCTTGTGGGGCAGGACCGAAGCGCAGGAAGGCTTCGCCCATCTCCACTAGCAGCGCAAAGGCGTTCTTGCGGGCGCCCACTGACACCTCCTTGGTGCACAGGACCACCTGGGGGACCGACACCCTCAGCGCCCGGCACGGATCCGCCCTTTGCCCCCAGGCTGGGCCAGGCCTCCGCCACAGCTGGGGGCAGCTCCCCACGGAGAAGCCATGGCCAGAGCAGGCATTGGGCTCCAGCACTGGAGCCTCGACCAGCCCCAACCAGAACCTAATCCAGGAATGGCTCCTCAGCCCTGCTCCCCCTCACCTCTGGGACCAGAGCCGTGACGAAGGCTTCATCCTCAGCCGTCAGCTGCTTCACAATGTGTAACAGGCACTTGAGCCGCGGCTGGGGATGGAGATAGGGACAGTGCCATGATGTCAGGCCCAGGCCCTGCTCCACACACCCAGCCATGTGCCCGATGTTCCCCCAAGGTCAGGCCCCAGGGACCCTGGCCACCCAGCACATGCCTCCCCTGCACCCCACTCAGCCTTGTACCCTCTTGGCGGGGGACGTGGCGCTCTTGAGGGAGTCCAGCAGGACGGTCTTCAACTCCCCCAGGTTGCTGCGGATGAAGGCCTGGCAGGGGCCGTGGGGTGCCGCACACACCTCCTCCAGCACCCGGTACGCCTTCTTCTGCACCCCGTGCTCCTTAGTCTGCAGAGGCAGCGCCCGGATGGCCTCGGTTAGGGGACTTGTGTCTGCCCTGTCCCCCTCCCAGCATGCGGAGAGGTCCCAGCCACTGCTGAGCTGGGGAGGGCTGCAGGGGCCATGCATGCCTCCCACCTTCCCTCCAGGAAGCAGCAGCTCGGAGCACCCAGGGATCCCACCTCCACCCCAGCCGACCTATGGTGGAGACCCCGGAAAGACAAACCCTTCCAGCCCAGGGCCTCCTGCCCCGACCCTGGAGCGCCCCAGCCCCTCTCCCCAAGCCACCCAGGGTGGAAGCTCTCACCCCATGACTCACCTGCAGGGAGGGCTGGATAGTGCGGTACAGGGTGCCCAGGGTCGGCTCGTCGGCATAGGGTGCCATGGCCACGATCAGGTCCAGGATGGACAGCCTGTGTGGGGAAGGGGTGAGTCTGGGACTGGCCTGGGCGCTGCTCCCCAGCTCCACTCCCTCCAGTGAACAGCCATGGGGAATAGGGGGTGCTGGGAGCCAGCTTGGGGAGGGGGGAACTGGGGGCTCTAGGCAGAGGCAGCCCCAGGGAGGCAGCAGGCATTACCTGGTGAACTCAGAGCTGTCGGGGCTGCTCAGCTTCTCGCTGGCTTTCTGCAGGAACCCACACACCATCTGCAGAGAGCAAGGCCCAGGTCAGGGCCAGTAACTGGTCAGCTCCAGCAGCAGCTCTTCCAGGTGCCCCGAGTCCCCTGCTGCACCTGGTCCGGCCCCTCTGGGCTCAAGCACGGAGGGGCTCCTGGGTCTTAGCTCAGTCCCTTTGGGTCTCTTGCTCCAGCACCTTCAGGCCCTACTGCATCCACGCTCCCCTCCCCTCCCCATGGCTCTGCCCGGCTCCCACAGCAATCCCAGCCCAGGGCTGCGCCGATCCTGTGGCACCAGGTCCTTCCCTCTCTACCCACAAAGGCACTGACAGGCCGCCCCGCGCTGCCCCTCACCTGCTGCTCGGTGACAGTGAGGTAGGTGCGGACAGTGTCCAGCACGGCACGCCGATGTGCCGAGTTGCGCCTGTCATCGCCCGGCTGGCTGTACACATTGAACAGGATAGGCAGGAAGTTCTTGGCGAAGCGGCCGACTTCGGTCCGCTCAGCGTCTGGGGGGGCAGAGACCGGTGGGTCCGTGAGGGTCTGTGCTGGGCCCAGGGCCTCGGCACCTGCCCATGTTCCCCCTCCAGGGCTTGCAGGGTGACCCCCACATGTGCCAGGCCTGCCCTTCAAGAGGCAGGGGGCCTGCCCAGGAGTAGGACTGGGAGGACTCAGCATTATACAATGGTCCTGGCAGCTAAACCCTGTCTCAGCCTCACCCTCCCACAGCTTTCCCTGCCCTGGGGGCATGACACCAGGTCCCCAGCCATGCTGGTCTGTACCACCCACCTCTTACTCACCCGTCTGGCAGCCCTTGGTGATGAGGGTGCGCAGGGCCTGGCACACGGGGAGGCGCAGGTCGGGGCGCTCGCTGAGGGCCGTGCCCAGGGTGCGCGCCAGCCCCTTGAAGGAGCTCACCACGTCCATGGGCCACCGGCAGAACCCAGGCAGCAGCGACCACACCTGGAAGGTGAACAGAGACTGACCCTGGAGAAGGGGCCGAACTCTGGGTGCTGGAGCCAGGGAGGGTAAAAGGCCCATCAAGTATTAGGGGTTTGTTTGGGCTGGTTTGGATAGGACTGAACCTGCCTCAGGACAGGGCTGGACGAAATGTGGTGAGAAGAAAAAAGGAAACTGAAGGGGGATTTGATAGCAGCCTTCAGCTCCCTGCAGGGGGGCTGCAAAGAGGATGGAGCTGGACTGGTGTCAGTGGGGGCAGCTGACAGGACAAGGAGCAATGGGCTCAGGCTGCAGCAAGGGAAGGTGAGGTTGGATATTAGGAAAAACCTGCCCATGAGGAAGGTGGTGAAGCACTGGAACAGGCTCCCCAGGTAAATGGTGGAGTCTCCATCCCTGGAGGTGTTTAAGACCTGCCTAGACAAAGCCTTGTCTGGGATGCTGTAGTTGGGGCTGGTCCTGCTTGGAGCAGGGGTCTGGACTAGATGTGACCTCCTGCGGTCCCTTCCACTCTCACTGTCTGTGACACTGACACCCACAGGTCCCTGCCAGCCCCATGGCCCTGGGACGTTATGAAATAGAGTCGCACCAGTGGGTATTAGACACGGCAAACAGCGGTGGGAGGCTCTGTGCAGAGCTCCAAACCTCCCAGCGCTGGAAGCTACAGCGAGACAAGCCTGGCTTGGCCCATCCACCCCTGCAGCACCTGGTGATCCGACTCCACTGTGGTGAGAGACAGGACACTGGGCTGGACTGAGCCATGAAAGGTCTCACGTTCCCCAGGGAGCCCTGCCACCCACCCCCACATCCCCCCCTTCCATGGCTGCCTGCACCAGGGCTGCAGCAGCTGTGCTCGAGCCTGGCACAGGCCCTGCGTCCAGGACCCTGGGGCACCTGTTGGCCTCAGCAGGGAGCCACTGCTCACCTGCCCCTGCAGCGTGTCATAGATCTTGGACTCCAGCGTCTTCCCATCCTGAGCCAGCTCCACAGCTGCGGTGGAGAGAATGAGCTGTGAGCCTGGTGGGAGCGGACCCCCCAGGGGGGCAGCAGGAAGAGCTGGGGCATAGAGGGGGGAGCTGGGCCCTAGAGAGCAAACGCCCAGACTGGGCAGCACTGGCTGGGCAAGCTGGACACAGGGGCCAAGCAGGCTCAGCCTGGGGGACAGGGCCAGCAGAACCCCCTGCCCCCTCTACCCCAGTGGCACCTGCCTCACTGCCTGGCGCTGCCCGCTTCACCCAGGGGCAGGGAATCCCTGCACAGCCACAGACACGGGGGACCCTGAAGCTCTCCCCCGACCCCTTACCTCTGTCCTTCAGAGCAGCTGCCAGGGGCAGAAAGTGGCTGGTGAAGAAGCCAAGCCGGGCGCCGCGGATGTGGTCCCGGAGCACGGGCAGGAGCCAGCTGCGCGGGAAGTCCAGCGTCTCCCTGGCAGGAGGGTGCAGGTCAGCCAGGGCTGATGCCACAAGGCCCCGCAGGTGCCAGCCCCTCGCCCCTGTGGGCAGGAGCTGCTTCCCCTCCCTCTCCACGGCTCTTCTTGGCCGCAGCTGCCTGGGGGAAAGGGCTTCATCCACCCGAGCCAGGAGCCTCTGCTTCCCCTCCCCCCACTGCCCCTTCCTGGCAGGAGCTCCCACCAGGCCCAGCCCCTACAGTGCAGCCATACTCACTCCCTGCCGTCGATGCCCAGGGGCACGGCCTCCAGCACCACCTCGGGGCCCATGGTGCCCACAGCGGCCCCCACCGTCTCATCTAGCTCGGCTGTGTGGGGGAAGTGCGGGGACAGGCGCAGGTCGCACAACGACTGCAGGCACTGGGGGGAAGGGGTGAAGGCATGGTCATGGGGGGGCATGGTCATGTGGATGTGGCCAGCGCATGGCAGAGACCACAGCCCAGCCTGGTGCCCTCTACTGCCAGATGCAGCCCCCAGACTGAGACGGCCGCTGGACTCCCACCCTGGGAACCCTCAGGGCAGCTTTGGACTGCCCAGGCCCTGTGCAGAGAGTGTCATTACTGCTGTGCTCTGTGCAAGGCACCTATGAGGCTCAGAAGCCGTCCCATGCACCGGTGCAGGCTGGGGACCGAATGGTCATGCAGCAGCTCTGCAGAAAAGGACCTGGGGTTGCCATGGACAATAAACTGAATATGAACCTGTTGACAAGAAGCATGGCACAATCATCCCATGTATGTTGCAGACTGAGCTAAGGGAGCAGGGGAGGGTCCCAGACTGCTTGGGCTGGGGGACCAAAGAAACCGGGGAACTACATTTTTTAAATGACATCTTCATAAATTTCCCAAGAAGCAACGCTAACCACCTGAAACCTGAGATCCTGCTCCTACCTTTGTTTCAAAGTAATTTGCGTCATCACTGAACCTCACAAGAGGTGACATGAGAGAATCCTTACCAGCTAAGAACGGTCTGCCCAGAGTTTTCCACCTATTGACTCCTCTGTGAAAAGCTATGAAATATGAACTTTCATTTCTACCTTGGAGAACTTCTACAATCTTTTCTTCAATGCCTGGTGAAAGGTGTTTGCGCCCAAAAGCTTGCAATTAAAGAATTTTTTGCAAAAAAAAAAAAAAAAAAAATAAAAAAAAAAAAAAAAAAAAAATCAATAAATGCTGTCTTCAAAGAATGACTTGTTCTTACGTGGGCAGGCAAGGTTTTCCGAGTAGATGTGACCACGTTTAATGGTCTAACTGTTCTAACTCTAGCATCTCTGAATTCAGTGCCAGGCCTAAAGTCTTATAAACTAAATCTGGTAACAAGCCAGCAGTGTGCCCTTACTGCCAAGAAGGTGACCAGCATCCTGGGCTGCATTGGCAGAAGCGTTGCCAGTGGGTGGAGGGCAGCGATTCTTCCCTCTATTCAGCACTGGGGAGGCCACATCTGGAGCCTTGCCTGGGATGTAGTTGGGCCTGGTCCACCTTCGAGCAGGGGGTTGGACTAGATGCGACCTCCCGAGGTCCCTTCAACCCTCATGTCTTATGATTCTTAACAAGGACAGTCTCCCTGCCCCAGCCCCAGCCCCTCACCTTCCTCATGACGGGGTGTCCTTGCTTCCCACATGCCTCGAAGAAGGCCCGCAGCACCTGCAGCACGGGTGCCCATGCCGCGTGGAACCGGTATGTCAGCCCCTCCTCCACCGCCCTGCATGGACAGGAGGCAGGGGGCTCAGCACAGCCCCCAGCAGGGCAGGGACCAGTGGGGGGGGGTCATCAGAGGCACCAGCAGAACAGAGGGGGCTTGTTCCAGCTGTAAAAGCCTGGATGCAAAGAACGGGGGTGGGGGCAGAGCACCCAAGGCCCCCCAGAGACAGCCCCAGCCCTAGCCCTCTCCCTGTACCTGAACATCTTGCAGAGAGAGGCAGCGGGGCCAGAGGCGGAGGTGGAAACAGGCCCCAAGTCGGTCACGTGGGGGGCCACGCACTCGCTGAGCAGCGCCTGCGGGACCCAGTCAGATGGGACCCCTGGAACTGTCCCC